AGGCTAGTTAAATGTTGGTTTTGTGACTCTCTTCTTTGTTGCAGCCAACAGGCTGGTTGTAACTTGACTGTTGATGGAGTAAGTAGCTTGGAAAGGAAAGCGTCTGGACTTCTCTAATTTTCTTGAAGACTCTTCACCTCTCATCCGAGAAGCTTCTTCAGTTCTAAGAGCAAAATGGTGGAGAGTCCCAGATTTTAAGCCCTTTGGGAGTGTCCTTCTCAGAAGCTTCTCAGATGACAGGTGAAACATCTTTAAGAAAATTAAAGAAGTCCAGATGCTTTTCTTTCCAAGCTCCTTAGACTACAACAAAACTGGATGACTGAGAACCTTCACTGACATGTTTGGCTGTTGATGGTTGTTAACCCTGGAGTAGACGATGATGAGGGTCCAGGGTGTGTCTTATCCAGTGACAGCTGCGATAGGCTCCAGAAAACCTTAAATTAAATGGGTGGTGCTTTAGATTCATTCTGTCACACCCACTTGCGAAACCCATGAAATATGACCCATGTGTCGAGTCTAAGTTTATAACTTTTTACGGTTTACACCATTCACACACCCCACTCACACACAGAATTGTGACACCCATAATATATGTGCAGAGGTTGAGCTGCACAGTTCTGACTGTCTAAGTTTCTTTACTAGCACTGATAAATAATTTATGAGTTAATGGCATTAAAATGAAATACTTTCCATGCCTTTGCTTTAGGTGCGCCCATCCCCGTAGGCATTGATGTGCAGGTGGAGAGCATCGACAGCATCTCAGAGGTCAACATGGTGAGGATTTTTAATGGCATGTCACAGAGGAAAGGACCCAAATGCAAGATGTCACAATAAAAGTCCAAAAATCCAAAATAGGAAAGACAAGAAATAGCAAGATCCATACATGAAAGGTAGGGTTTTGAAGGAAGGCGAATAAAAACAGCTAGATAACCTGATTTAGGAAAGTGGCAAATAAATCCAATAGAGAAAAAAGGAAGCCCGGGAAGTGAGAGGATAACTGAACACAGGAGATACTAATTGGACCAGTAATCAGAAAGGGAGTGTGACTAACAGGAATGAAGGAAGATCACAAGTAAATAATCAAAAAAGAGGCTGCCTAAATATATTCCTGAAAATGTTGGTTAAATGTCTTAATACAATAGTTTTTACACTGTAAAATAAATAAACAGATTAGTAGATTAAATAAACTATTGGGGTGTTTAACTGAGGTTTGCAGAATCAGGGCCAAACAGCTGGCACTGTTCTTAAAAAGGCCTCAAACCATTTGTGTCAAATGCTGAATGGAGCCTGTGGCCCAGATATGGCCTAAAAAGAATCCAGTCAGACCTGCTGGACTGCTCTGCACACAAAGAGGGCTTAAATTATGAACTTTTCACTGTATTTTAGATCAACGGCCTTTATGCTGCCAACAGTGGCTCAATAATTTACACATTTACTAAACAGGCAAACACTTCCTGCTTTTGTCTCTCCTCCCAGGATCCCTCTGGGGTTGCATCAGGAGGGCCATCCAGGATAAATATATATATATATACATATATATCTGCCAAATTAATCACATAGATCTAACCAGTGTGTCAACCTCTTTGTGCATTGTGCTGCAAATCATTAAGAATTTATTGCGTTTTAGAGTTTGGTATTAAAAGCGCTGCCAGACCACAGCTAAATAAGATCATATAAGTCATTCTGATGAGCCAAAAACAATGTTCCTAAGACAAATTACACCAAAAGCTGTCATATTTTGCCCTTCTTTCATAACCTTTCAGTAAAAATAAAATCATGTAGACAAACTGAACTAAAGAGATTCCTTAAACTGTAGTTTTATGACTTTATAGTTTTATGACTTTATAGTTTTACTGACGTCACTGTTTGTCAGTTGACTCTCTGGCTCTTGATCCCTGAAGTGGCCAGCTTTGAAGTCAGCGCCATGTCTAACTTAAAAGTTCTTCCAGCCAAGAGAGATGAATGAGAACAGGACGGTGCTGCAATGACAGCCTGATCTAAAACAATGGAAGTGTTGACCCCAGGTTCAGGCTCTGCCTGGAACCACATTTTCTGAGCCCCCAGATCTCCCATGATTTCAAACTTGCTTGAAAAACATGAATAAAAATTAAAGAAACATAAGAAGTATATGTTTCTCTGGTGTGTGTCTGCCGTCTGTAGGACTTCACCATGACTCTGTACCTGCGTCACTACTGGAAGGACGAGAGGCTGGCGTTCCCGTCTAGAAACAACCAGAGCAGGACTTTTGACTCCCGGCTGGTGAAGAAGATCTGGGTTCCTGACGTCTTCTTCGTCCACTCCAAACGTTCCTTCATCCACGACACCACCATGGAGAACATCATGCTGCGGGTTTACCCTGATGGAAAAATCCTCTACAGCGTCAGGTAGAGGGCAGGTGTTCAGGTGGATGCAGAAGTGTTAAGCTGCAGAGAAGACGATGAAATCCTCTGAAGCTTAGTTTAGCCAATGTTTACTTTATTAAATATATGTGGTGTCAGGAAAACATTGATTTATTAGGGTTTTTTTCATGTAATAAAATAAGTAAGTAAAGCATCCCATCTTGCACTGTGCATGTCTGTAGCATCCCTTATGAACCAAGCGTCCCTTAAACTATTCAGAAGCCTCACTGATGGTTTATAAGATGACCAGGAATGTCATTAGGTGCACCTGTTCTACTGCTCATTGACCTAGACATCTGATCAGCCAATGACGTGACAGTAACAGTGACATGGCAACCTGCTGAAGTTCAAACTGAGCATCAAAATGAGGAAGAACGGTATTTAAGTGGCTTTAAATGTGACATGAATGTGAATGTGAAGGTGATTGTCTGCAGAAGACAACACATGCTTGAAGCAGATGGGCTACAGCAGAAGAGAACCCGATCAGCTGCCACTCTGCTCAGCTCTGCCCAACGGGAAACTCAGGCTACAATTCACAGACAATAGGAAAAATATGGCTGGTCTGAGAAGTCTCAATTTCTGATGCAACATTCGGAAACGGCATAAATGTACAGATCATTCCATCTCCACAATGACCACATCTCTAAGCATGGGATGTGTTAGAGCAGGAGATCTGATCACGGATCTGCAGCCAGCTAATTTGCAGGAACGGCGGGAAGCTACCGTGTCAATAGCTTCACACAATTGGACCAAAATCTCTGAGGAACAAATTTCTGCCACGAATTACATTATTTTCTGAAAAAAGGAGGTCTGGTATTAAGCAAAGTGTAACTATCTGAACTATCTGGCGAGTGTGTATCAGATGTGACAAACTGACAAAACAGAAATTGTTGCAGCTAGGAAAAAAAAGCTTCTAGATTCCTGCTTTAATCTTTGTTTCCCTGCCCTATTTTCACTTTTCTGACTCTACTTTGGTTTGCTTGAGTTTCTAGGGAGTAAACTGTAAGAACGAACAGTCAAGGACAGCTGCAGGGGAAGCTGTTTTATATCTGTGTGTGTGGGTGTTTCAGGGTCACTGTGACGGCTCTCTGCTCGATGGACTTCAGCAGCTTCCCTTTGGACACACAGAACTGCTCGCTGGAGTTGGAGAGCTGTAAGACGCATTCAGTATATACACACAATAATAAAAACTTCACGTTCTTTAATCATAAAGTAACACATAAATGAAAGGTGGATAATGTCAGCTGACCTCAGTTCTTGTATTTCTTCTGTTTTCCATCTCCCTTTGTTTCTAATTGTTTCTCACTGTAGACGCGTATAACGAGAATGACCTGATGCTTTACTGGAAGAATGGCAACGACTCTCTGAGGACGGATGAGATCGTATTGTCACAGTTCTTCATTGAGCATTTCCAAGCCTCCAGTGGCCTGGCTTTCTACAGCAGCACCGGTGTGTATAGCACAGGTTGTGTACCTGTAGCATCTGCGGGTACTCACGTTTAGAGACAAAACACAAGTCAGATCATTATGCTCTAAAGCAGGGTCTCAAACTCCAGTCCTCAGAGACCAGTGTCCTGAAACTTTTCCATGTGTCCCTACTGCAACACAGCTGAATACAATTAGTAGGTCATCAGTAAGATTGTGTCATAAAATAATGGAAGTGGGAGCAGATCATATTTAGTAGTCACAAACATATGGACACGTCTGTCTCTTTACTTGTAGATATATTCTTTTAGATTAGAGTGCTTTTAGAGACCTTTGGGATGAACAGGAACTCCAACCTTATCATCAAGTGTCACAGTTTGCTGAAAAGACTGAAGTTTTTCTGTCTGTCTTTGTCAGGCTGGTACAACCGTCTCTTCATAACCTTCATCCTGCGGAGGCACATCTTCTTCTTCATGCTGCAGACGTACTTCCCCACCATGCTGATGGTCGTCCTCTCCTGGGTCTCCTTCTGGATCGATAGACGGGCTGTTCCTGCAAGAGTGTCTCTGGGTATCATTCATTAAGCAAATCCTAAGTACAACCACCTCAAATCCCAGTCTTTCTGCTCTCTCCTGGCTCTTTAACCACAGTTAAAGAGGCACATTAAACCTGTAAATAGTGCTGTTTCGTTCTGTTCCTTTATTGGGGTGAAGCCTAATGACTTCAGTGATGCTCTAACATTTTATTTTACACCATCATTGATCTACTTTATCCTACACTGCAAGACAAATGATACTGCCAGGATAACATTTATATGAATCTAAAACCTACTGCATCAATATCAATTTGACACAGTTGATGGATATTTTTGATATTTATTTGTATTTTTCATCACATCTTATACAGAGTTATATAAACCACAGAAGACAGAAAAACCGGGTCAAGTTGAAGCAAGTGTATTTAGTTTGTTCTGAGTCAGAGTTACAATATTAACAGGTGGAGTGCTAAGTCGATGCTAGCAAGCTCCATCTATAAACTGTGTGAGTGAGATACCTGTTAATTTGTGCTAACAGACCAATTAAAAACTAGGATTTCACATCCTCAGACTGAAGAACAAACATCATGGATGCTCTGTACTTCACAGCAACATGACGAACACAATCACAGTCCACAGGTTCATTTCAATGACTCCAGCTGGTGGAGCCAAGGCTCAGCAGACGGTTACCACCTTACACCTCTGTGTGTCAGCACACCTGCTCATCAAAGTTATAACAGTAAATGGATGAGTTCCAAAGAAATGTCACCCTCTGAAGAGTTGCTGTAATCACGTGTATCTCTGCTGTAAAGGCTTTAACGTGGCAGTCTGTGCAGGAGGATTCATTTTGAAGCCAGCCTCAATGCAAATTTAAAGAACTGCAGTTTTTGGCTTCTTGGTGTCTACACTCATGTCCAAAAACAAAACAAGAACAGCCAGTCTTCACCAAACATCACACGTTATTTGAAAGAATTTGAATGTCATATGTGAAGTCTGTCTGTGTTTTCTCGTCCCCTGCAGGTATAACCACAGTGCTCACCATGTCCACCATCATCACAGGAGTGTCCGCCTCGATGCCTCAGGTAACAGCTGTTTGTGAGAGTTCAGCAGGCCTATGTTGGCTCTGGGTCACCAAAACAGATGATCAGAAAGGAATTTAACAGCATATCAATGCCAATGTAAAATTTCTTTTAAATGTTTTGCATTTGCAGTATTTTTATTTACCTTGTGTGAAGTGAAATAGCCCAAAAGATCCTTCTTTGACTTAAACTGAACAAACTTAATTGTGGAGGAAAAGTGCAAAGATCAGGATCACATTTGGGAACTGAAAGTTTCATAATTTGTATAAACACGACACCGTTTGCTATTTGCCATAATGCCATTTCCTAAATATGTGATAAAACCAACAAAAATGTGTTATGAATTAATTTACAATATATACATTTTGCAGCTTATCTTTAATATTGATAACACTAGAATTATGCAAAATGAGGAGCTGGGATGGCAATTTTGTCACTTTTTTCTATTTTGTAACTAAAGTAGGAGGATATACCATTGACTGTACATTGCTTTGTTTTTGTTTTTAGGCTTTTTTATAAAGTCTGTTGAAACCCCATTTTAAAAATGGCAACAAAGGGGAAAAAAATAAGGTTAAAATTTAAAATATAAATAGATAAATGACAAAGGGGTGAACCATATTAAATGTGGCCCTGTAAATGTGAAAACGTGCGATGCTTTCCAGGTGTCGTACGTGAAAGCGGTGGACATCTACCTGTGGACCAGCTTCCTGTTTGTCTTCCTGTCTGTGATTGAATATGCAGCCGTGAACTACTGCACCACTCTGGAGGAGATGAGGAAGATGAAGAGGGGGAAGGTCAGCACAGGGGGGAAGGGGGATTATTACTGTGCAAAGAGCGAGGCAACATTTTGCTTAATGTCTCACTCTAGTGGCCAATCAGGGCCATTACATGTGCTGCACAGAACCCTCCAGCTGCCTCTTGGATCTTTACTAAGATTTACTCAAACTTTGAAATTTTCGTGCAAAGCGTGAGAGCCTTTTTGGAGCCAGAGTATCGATTCAATTCAGTTTTATTCATACAGCGCCAAATCACAGCAGTTGTCTCAAGATGCTTTATATTGTAAGGTAGACCCTACAATGATACAGAGAAAGACCCAGCAATCATAAGACCCTCTCTGGGCAAGCAGTTTAGCAACAGTGGGAAGGGAAAAACTCCCTTTTAATTGAAAGTAACCATTGGCTGCAACCTTCCCTTTCATGTGTGTGAAAAGTCAGTCATTGAGTCAATAGGTTTCAAGCAAAGTGGCCTCTCAAAGCATTAACAAAGTACTTCAGAAGGTGGAGCAGAGTTTAAGGTGGAGCATATTTTTAAACCGCTGAAATCACTAGTTTATTATTTGAGTTGCTTTAATCATAAATATCGAAAATTCAAACTAGCTTTTAAAATATGAAAATCTCCAGCCGTTACTGTCATACAGGAGGTTTTGGACTGTTGAAGGACTCAAGAGAAAAAGAATCGTCCTGGTGAAACACTGACACCTTGTGGCAAAAGCAAGCATTACGTTTTGCAAAAATATCTTTAAAATGTCAAAAGTAGTTAAAAAGAAACTGCAGTCAGGTGAACATTTCCTGTCATTTCAAAACATCCACAAGTTTTAAACTGCTTTGTGTTGTTATTACCTTTTTTTAGTAAGTATCCGACATAATCAATTCATGTTGGAATTTGGATTTCTGTGTAAATCTGAAACAAACTAAGTGTCCACTGATGCATTAAAACTGCACATGTTTGATCACCACTCAAATCTGATTTAAAGAAATGATTAAAACGTTTGTCTTTGCCACAAAATGGAATTTTTAAGAGATGTCCCCCTTTTATTTATATATTACCTCTTTGCTTTTAAAGATTAATCCTCGGATTGTAATTCAAGATTTTTGAGTGCCGGGTCTCTGTCGGTGAAATCTCCACCTGCTCGTTTCCTTTCTTTGCCTTTTCAAGATCCCGTCCACCTTCAACGCCAGTCAAGCAATGGCCTTTGACGGGTGTTTCCACGACAACGATATTGAGCTGACTACATTCCCCCGTCTGGCACCCACCTTGACCTCTGACCCTCTGACATCGCCAACCCAAAGCTCAGACATGCGCCCCACGGAGGGGACTCGGCTTCGCCGGCAGCGGTCTGTACGTGAAAACGTGGACCTGCTGGTCAACAACAGCTACATGATCGACTCATACTCTAGACTGGCCTTCCCTCTGTCCTACCTGCTCTTCAACACCATCTACTGGAGCATGTACTCCTGATCCAGCACCAAATACTCTACAAATTGAGTCTGAGTGCTGCAGAGGAGATTCCTCATCTCGACAGAGGTCCAAAGAGACTTCACTGGAATGGCGCTCGGATAGAGGGGCCTCAGCTACATCCAGCTGATGTTCTTTGCTGAAGAGCTGAGATACAAACCCTCGAGGACCCTCAGCCTGAGTACGAACTCTGTAATTGTGCATTTATCTCATCAGAAGGGCTTCAAATCCTGAGAGTCAGACTTTTTCTGTTTGGACGATTTGTACATGTGTCTTTTCTTTTTTGTGCGTCATCGTAAAGGTCATATCAATATCTGCTATTGATATATGATATCTTTATCGATTTCTTTAGCTACATGATATTAAATTAGACATAAACAGCGTGAATATGTGCTTCTTAAAATATCAGAACATCTGCACATATTTGAAAACTGTGATTGGAGCAAAGCAAACACTGTAAGTGTAATTTGGTGTGTTTCTTGATTAATTTCTCTCTTGTTTGCAGTGTTGGAGTGTACGGGCAGAAATATTTAGCTGGATTCATTTTTATTTGAGAAAAAAATATGGCTTATTACATATTTGCATTAACGAGAAAATATTGTTAGGTACAACAGGTGATGGTTGGGTAAAACAAGCAGTATAGTGTAAAGGGTTAAAAGTTGTATTTTGTTAATTTGTCCTAAACAATAAAACAGAAGTTTTATGTAAAGTTGTCAAAAGATCGATTTACGGGTTCTGCAAAAACTTGGTATTATGGTTGTACCTGAAAAAAATACATGAACTATACTAAAATTTTGAGTTTTAGTGTTTGAGCGTGCAGTACGTCTTCTTCCTTAAAGGCCACCTCAGCAAGTCATCTGTCTCATATCATCCTCCACTGTTGCACCAACCATGTCCTTCACCACATACATGACTCTTCTCTGCAGTCTTCCTCTTGTCGTCCTGCCTCGCCGCTCCATCCTCCACATCCAATTTACACAAGGCCACAAGCCAGTATATGCGTAGTGGAGATTCCAAGCTGATGATAATGGAAAGGCATTTGTTGATATGATATTATACTCTATAGCTATATTAATCTGGGGCATCCATAAACTGCCAGCCCATTTTGAAATCTGAAAAATGTCTACAGCCCACCTAACCCCTCAAACTCTACTGTGACATGATCTGACCTCGTGTTCCACACCATAACATATGCGTTGTACAAAATGTTTGTGAAATTAACAGTAAAATTGTGTAAAATCTTGACATCAAAAAAGTGTAAATAGAAAAACAACAAAGAAAATGTTTAATTTACATCAATAAATACTGGGGCGCACTGACAGAGGCGAGGCTGCCGTTTTAGATGTGTCCTTGATCCAACACAGCTGATTGGGGCCCGCCCCCTAGGGGAGGGGAGGTGGGCGCAGAGCCATGGCAAGGGGGGCGCAGTGTGAAAAGGGAAAAGAAAAACCAACGCTTGGACACTGCTAGCACGGGGCGCCCACACAAACGCAAAGCAGGAGACGAAGCATCGCTGAATATGTTTCCAAACCAACTTCATTCTAAGACAAAGACTAGAAATTATGGTGAAGCATGTCTTCCCTTTGGCTTCACCTGCACAAGTGCTGAGGTAGGTCTCCCCTGCAGAATTGGTTTTCCCTGCATCAGGAGCAGCGCTGGGCTGTTCAAATCACGGACAAACAGATCCCACATTCTTGATTTTTAGTTCACAAACACTTGTTGTAATGACTAACTTTCTGACATTTTGGAGATGTTAGCTCTTTATACAGTAAAGTTACAGCGGGATACAAATAATATCAGGCTGATCCTGCCACGATTTGTTCCCCCGGTTCAAATCCCAGACATTTCGGTGTTTCAAAACGCCGTTTAGTGTGGACGAAACAGCTGCGTTTTCAAAAATACCCGTGTAGGTGTGGACGTAGCGTAAAAGAGTTAGTAGTTTATTTTCTTACTACCTGTAATTTATTGCAGATTACTTGTATTTGCTTAATTGTTTACTAAATGTTTGAGGTGTGAAATAAACCGCAATGGAGCAAAATATGGGGTGTGTGGTTGGAGGATGTGTGTGCGTGCGCGCGGAGGGGGGGGGGGGACATTTTTCTTGTAAAACAAGGGGGGCCCAGCAAAAAAAGTTTGGGAACCACTGGCCTAACCCAAATTTTATTAAGATAATATCTCTAAATATCAACTTAGCTTTGCTTTGCAATTTTTTTTAACTTTATTTCATTTTTTAATTTTTTAATTTATTTAGTTTTTGTCAATAGTTTAAATATATATTTTATCATTTTTTTACAATATCGAAATATGACAACATACTATTATGAATAGGCATTATCATATTTTATATATTCATATTCAGACGGATATTTAACAGTGGTTACTTTTCACTTGGTGAGAGTATTACAAACATTTTTATTTTTTATACAGGAGTTAAAGTGAGTTTATTGGAGGGAATAAAAGTTTTTTTTCATTTTGTAAGCACGGTTTCCATGGCAGCCGCAAAGTTCACGGAGCAAAATAAGTTAAACCTGCGGAAGAAACTCCACCGGGAGCAGAGCAGAGGTAACGGGTGAGTTTCTGTCTCACACGATGAAAACACCTCAGAGACGGTGAGCTTATTTGTGTACAAGCTAAGCTCCAGCAGTGTGACATTAACGAGGTTAAATATATATTTCATCGTTTTTATATCGAAATATATGAATCTGCATTATTATATGTTATATATTTATATTCAGATGGATATTTAACAGTGGCTGCATTTCACAAATGCATAAACATTTGATGAGAGTATTAAAAACACATTTAATTTATGTCATACTGGCCGTTAGCACCGTAAACGTTAAAGTTAGCTTCACGGACGTTAACAGTTCTTAACGTCCACGGTTCGTGTTAAACGGATGAGGCTCTGATCCCGGTTAACTTGACTTCCACCTGCAGAGGTGTGTGTCTTTAAAGGCCGGTGTGGTCAGTTTCACTCCGCCCATCGAGGCTGATTTGAGGCCGGAGCGCAGAAACGTAACATCAACACGGCCAACTCAGAGGCTTTGACTTCTTATTTAGATCAAGGTTTATCGCTAAGGTTCATGTTCAAAGTGCTGCTTTTTATTAACTTGTTTTTCGAAAGTGCTAAAAACACGTTTTAATTCAGCCAGAGCCCTTTTTCCTGGACCTTTTATGAGTTTGGGGATTTTTCTTGTATTGAGGCAGTGAGTATTAAATATGTGTGGGGATGTTGGTGAAATGATGAGGCACCGTGCACAAAAACACGTATCTGGGGATATGATCTACTTTGTATTGCCTTCTTCATTTGACACCGTGTAAGCAGAGATGTTGTGATATGCATGTTGTGTCTAGTGGTATTTTGCTCTCTGTTTTTGTTAGCATGAGCTCAAAGAAGGGGTTTACATGGGACAGGATCAATGTTTTAACTAGTGATTGTTTATGTATCTTCCCCAAATTGCAGATCCTGATTTATTTCTATTTACAAAAGAAATGTCTGGAAATTTCAGTCTTTTTTTTATTTAAAAGTTCAAAAATTGCCTCAGAATTTAGCGTGTGGAGGAAAAATAAGTCGAATTTGCCTTAAAAAAAATCTAGAAAATTATTTGATATATGAAGCCAAAATTTCACAGCAATCATTTTATACATGACCAGGTTTTAAACTATAAACTTTTCAGGGACATCAGAGGTGGCTGAGCAGAAAAGGTTGTGAAAATGTGATGATTTGAGATGTAATGACCCTCATCAGTTCAGGTGTATTTATACAGCACCAACTGTGCAGTCGCCATGAGGTGCAACAACAATATTCATTTGGGTCTTTATCTTTATACCCAATTAAGCAACCCACTTATGAGCGATCACTTTTCACTTTGGCAGGAAGGAAGAACTCGGGGGGTGGCAGTGGTCTCCCATGACAAAGTGGAGGTTGTGGGGAAGGGGAAAAAAGGGGGAGCATAGGGAGGCAGGACAACGCACACTATGGGGGAAAGAGGACGAAGAAAAATGAAGAAAACTCAGAACCACTGAGAGAATTCATTCTCAGGGCGCGTAGATTATTTTTTTCTCTACACTATTAGAAATAATTACAGTAGAAGAAGAAGACAGACTCACCCATTTTTAAAGGTTTTCATTATTAAGTCATCCTGAGATCAGTGGTTTCAGTTGGCTGTGGACAACCACACACAGCAGCAAAGAGGACTACACCTTGGCTACCTTAGACCCCAATCAGATCGATGTTTATGCTTCAACTTCATCTTACGAGATCCACTTCCTGGGTCATGAACCTGCTGCTGCTCCTGAGGAGGTAGAGAAGGAAAGAGGTATAAGTGATGGTCTCTAAACTGCTGGGAGACGATGCAGACTCCTTCATCTGTCTTTTCTGCCCCCACTCCTGGATCGAACTGGGTCTGGAGGTGAACTGGAAGGCTGAGCTCAGAGGGCGTCTGAGGCCGAGCCTGGGCAGGGTGAGAGCAGGAAGTGTATCGACACAGCAAATCCCAGAATCTGTCTCAGAGCTCCAATCCTCTATGGCTCTGCTGGGAGCTTATCCCTACAGCACAGTGATGCCTCAGGGGACCTGCATGTGAGACTGGCACACAGATTGCATTCAGTCTGTACGTGTTCGCTCAGTATGCCGACTGACTGGGCTAAGCGATAACATTCACATGCTAAATGTTCGAAGAAAAAGCCTGTAAGAACAGGATTTGGTTCATGTGTCGTGGTTTCATTCATATACAGGCAAAAATTGAGCTACCTACAACTGGAAGCAGCCATTGTGCATTAAGAAGTTGCATAACATGTTACTGTTCATACAAGTGTCCTTGATGCATAAGCACAGTCTGACTGAACGGTGAGGTACATAAACTTCCTGTTAATGCTTTGATATCACAGGATCACAATTAGTAGAAACATTTAAACACAGAGTGGATACAAGGTTAACCTTTGAGCTACATTTCTTTTTGGCTTCATGGATTTTGTTAATCTTCTCTGTGGTTCAAATAACAAAGGTGTTGTATTTGTAGGTTTTAATAGGCTCATAAATATGGTGCACATTTATGCATTTTTATTATAGGAACCTGCCACCGCTCCAGGCCTCAACAATAATCCTGAAATATGGACCACAACAATTTTTACCTGAGCTACCCTGACCCCGCCTACCAGCAGATTCAGCAGCCATGGCTGGTCCATGACAATCTGATCCTTCAGGAAGGTAGGCTAGATCTGCTTGTTTTCCATACACAGGCATTTTATTGGCTGCTGGATATTGTTGGGTTACTATTTATTATTTGGTTATTTGTGTTCTTTTTAAGGATATATACCAGTGTTTCAGCAGGAGAACATGGTCCTGGGTGATCCTAACGCACTGGAATATCAAACACTGAGAGCCAACACTCACATATTTAACGGAGAGTCCTGTGACCCACCTGTGACAGGTACAAAGCTGAATTAAGTTTCTCTTTGAAGTCCATCCAGCTGTGTTTTTAAAATCCGGTATTTCTCACACACGTTGGCTTTACTTTACGTTGAGGCAAAATGTGTTTAAAAAGAGACAATTTGATTCAACAGCTCCCTTTATTTTGAAATTTCTCAATTTCCTGACCAATTGGCTCATTGGGCGTGTTGCTGCGGCACGGCGGTTAGCACTGTTACCGCACATCAAGAAGGTCCTGAGTTCAATTCCCCCATCAGGTCTTTCTGTGTGGAGTTTGCATGTTCTTCCCGTGTTTGCGTGGGTTCCCTCCGGGTACTCCGGCTTCCTCCCACCGTCCAAAGACATGCAGCTTGTGGGGATAGGTTAATTGGATAATCCAAATTGCCATTAGGTGTGAATGTGCGAGTGAATGGTTGTCTGTCCCTGTGTGTTGGCCCTGCGACAGATTGGTGACCTGTCCAGGGTGGACCCCGCCTCTCGCCCTATGACAGCTGGGATAGGCTCCAGCGCCCCTGCGACCCTGAAAAGGATAAGCGAATGGCGTGTTACTGTTGTGGTGGAATCATTTAGCTACTCCTCCAGAGGGGATCTCCTCTGGTCAGGCAGACCCCCAACAACTGGAAACAGTAGTCCTCGTTCTGCTCTTGAGATTATCACCACCTGCAGGTGGAGAACTAGATCGTGTGCTGCTATGCTGAGCTAATGGAGGCACAGTCACAGCATGAGAGACTCACTGGAATAGGAGTTTAGTTGTCACACAGTATGTACATTTAAATACAAAAACAGGAGTTAATCATCTAAAAGCATTGTTCCTTTAAAAAGCGTCCTTTTGCGACACACAGGCACACAGAT